GATAGATAGATAGATAGATAGATAGATAGATAGATAGATAGATAGATGGATAGATAGATAGATAGATAGATAGAAAGAAAGATTAATTAATGTACTTTTTTTTTGTCTACCACAATACATTTACAGGGTCCATATGTCTGTTTTGCTTGTCATTAGTGGGCGTTTAGCTTGTTTCTACACAAAGACACTGAAATAATCCCCCGTTGATTCAGCGCGCGTGTCCATCTGTTGTTTGACTCCGGACCCAAATCAGACGGACACCGGCTGAGGTCCAACACCAGGACGGCCCGTAATCCCGAAATTAATCGTGGAAATTTGACCCCGATGTGCAATGGCACTCTAAATGGGTCTAAGTAAACAACGCAATAAAGACAACAAGTTTTAATCCTTCATTTAAAATATAACGAAGGAAAAAATTAGTCTATTAATCTGAGGCTTTTTCCAAATCTGATTTGTCAAACAACCGGAAAAATAAAGTGTATAGAATGAATGCTAAAACATTTCCCCCCCCGAATGAAACAGAAAGACTGGTGACTAATCTAAATGTTTCAAATTCAGGTAGTTCTTTTTTCCACTGATTTTTGCGGCAGATGATTTTTTTTCTTTGCCTCAATGATTCAGCGCACGTTACATTGTCTGCTCCTCCTAATTAAAACTTAATGAGGGGTCACTCAAACGCTTTCTCACACCACCCTCACGCACATTACCATGTGAATCCCCAACAAAAGGAGCGGAGATAGAGAGACAGGTCCTGACTACTAAACACGTTTACATTTGTTTAATTTAGACAAATTTTTACCTTTTTACATGGAACCTGAGACTCTGTAATATCTAACAATATTTCAAAGATATATATAGCCTACTAGCCTGTGTTTTCATGTGAGCCACTCAACAATCAGAGAGAACTTTTGAACTCAATATTATCCATTGCTATGTGCCTCATAAATGATTAAGACAAAGTAGGTGAAATTTGACTTCTCAGATTTATTATTTTCATTTTTTCATTGGTGTATAATAAACATTTGTCAACTGGGTCATGAATACATTCATATCTTGGCAAAAATATTCAATTGTTGCCACACAAGAAATAAAAATGAATTGGCAATTTAAAAACATATCAAAACATTGTGAAGTGTTTTGGAAATGTAGATAGATTAGTGAGTGGGAAATACTATTATTTGTAGCTTTTTGTCTGAAGCCGTTTCATTATTTTTATTGCAGGAACTGTTACAGGAGTGGAGCCAAACACCGGTGTGCATGTCAGAGTAGACACTGTTTTGGAGGAATCTCATAAACTCTTGATTTGATGCAGCTGCGGATCTTGCCAGCTTCGTGACGACATTTCCTTGAATCTGGTCCTGGATGTGCCAGCTCTTGTCTTGGTTCTGAGGAGAAAAAGACAAAAGGAACTATTAGCATAAGATTAAAACTTACTTTATAAAGTCGTCCACTCTACATAATAATTGTTCCCAAAAAATTGGGATTGTAAAAAAAAATAAGGAAAGATGATCTTGCTTGTGTTATACTGTACAAAAAGAATGACCTATAAACAGATTTCGAAAGCCATCAAACACTTATATCAGAACTTGAAAGCTTTATAAAAACTAAAGCATTATCAGACAAAACAACAGCCTTGAAATAAAAAATGAGGATAAAACTTAAGGGAATGCAGTGGGAAAAAAAGTCTAATGAGGGTCTAAAAACCAGACTTGATGAGTTTGATAAGACAACAGTACATTTGTGGTTGTGTGTGATTTTTCTTTTTCGTACATCAGATGTGGAGGAAGTGTTCGGGCAAAACAAACTTCCTTTTCATGCACAGTTGGAAGAAAAAAAAAAGCCCCTGTACTGTGCATGTTGTTCTTCTCCTCCATTTTCAGGCTGTATGCGTGGAGGGATCTTAAGGCTTTTATCCTCACAGGGAACCAGCTCCAACTCTTTCTCTGTCAATTTTCACCCACTCCCCAATTCAGATGAGCCCTTTCTCCCACTGAGCCCACAATGAAGGATTTGTCCTCGTTCTCTTTGTCCGCCCCTGATATCTTTTTTCGACGGCTCCCTCTCCGCAGACAGCATGCAGCGTATGCAAATACGCACTCTTTTCATTCGCCAGACCCCTCCCCTGAATGAATGTCGCCTTAAATGAGGCCACACTCGCACACGTTTGCAGAGGGGCCACTGAGCATGCACATATTACAATCGCTGGATTTGAATGCCCACTTTGACACGCAGTCAGTCAAACATCAAACGCTGAGCAGTTACAATGAGCCAACGCACAGCTATATACAGTTACCAGCTTATTCTAACTGCATGTTTATCCACACCACTATCATAACAGCTATGACAGGCGAGACAAGCAGCACTCGTCGTGGCTGTTTTTTCTTTTCTTTTTTCTCAAAAGAAAGTGCAATGTTATAACTCCAGGTTTTTTTGTTTTGAGAAAAATGTCAAATTGCGCATGGATTTCTGCTAATGGGGTAAAATGCTTTTACGCTCCTGGACTTTCAAACAGTGGTCAAATGTCTATATGCACAGGCCCATCGAGTATATTACCAGCCATAGAAGCTGCTATGGTCTCACTGAATGGGAAATGTTTGTTCTATGATTTCACAATATTAAGACGACTTCAAATTGAATAACTTTTCCTGACTACATTTAAGAAGACCTACATTACGATTTTGGATGGAAATTAAATATACGTGATGAGCTGAAAAAACAAAGAGACGTCATCTTACAGGGATGGCAGGATTTTCTGTCCTTCTGTGTTTTATCACAGTAATTATACACCGAGCAAGCGCACACACAAAGACACAATAGGTGTCGAGATGTGTAGGACGAGGGCTGAGAACCGAGACACAAGCGGTCCAACAGAATGCGCCGAGGAAGAGGGGCAGACTGTGTAACTCTGGATGAATTATAGCAGTGTCTGATGAACATAAAAGCGTTCTTGCGCAGCTAACATTCCCAAGCTGGCCCGTGCCATCTGGGAGCATGTGTGAATGGGTCGGAGTTGGTGTGTATCGCGTGTGTTGTCGGTGGGGGTTGACGTCTGCAGGACAGCTCTGACAATTTGGCCTTTTCATTCTTACATTACTGAACGGGCCGGCGTCTTTCCCATAGCAACCCTTAGAGAGGTCAAAGGCTATGTACTCCTCACCCGCCGCCTCCTCCTCTCCTCCTTGTGCTCCAGGGTGGCCACAGACACCACCAACTCCCTGACCGTCTGCAGCTATGAACTTGAACTTCAGTTGATTTCTCACACATTTTCTCAATCTTTGCCACAACTTTTCATATGCTAGATGCCAAAAGGGCTTGAGGCCCCCCGTTTTAGAGCTTGGTGTCCAACCTGTGCACAGTTGCAGATTATAAAATAGTGTGGACATACAAAAAAGAGGTCATGTCAAGGATCCCATATTACTCCCTCCATCCTACGACCTCATCTCCTGCTATGATTACAAAGGGCTGCTGTATTAAAGGCTCAGTCACCTAATTCTCCCCTGCTTTCATTGGAGCATACAGGACCCCTACTCTGGGACGCAACAGCCAAGAGATGTAATCTGAAAAGCCTGGGATGTAGAAACTTCTCTCCATCTTCCTCTAAGATACTTAACGTCGGGCTTTGTGCTAGATTAGTCTCAGCCAAAGTTGCATTAAAGAGCACCAATGAGCCTCATCTGACCCACATTGGACCTCATCCAAGACTACTGGCGACCGATGAGCGGGAGGTTATAAATCTCAGTAGAGCCGTTAAAACATTAATAGTGTCCACACATAGCGAGGAGGTAACCCAGGAGCTATGTGGTATTAACATTTTATCACTACTATAGCTACGCCACTGCACCCACCTGGAATGGGAAGTGAGCAGTGGCCACTGTCACTTCATCATGTCACACATTATAATTCCCCAGCACTGACAGTCCGAAACAGCAAAAGCAATAAACAGTTAATAATGACCAACAGATGTAAGGAAAAGAAAGAGAGGAAAGATAACCATCGCTCTATGCCATTTTCTTCAGGGAAAATACATTTTTCTGTCAAATGTAAAGTTATGTGCGAGCAGAGGGAAGTGAGGAGTGGGGAATGAATATTTAAGTAACAGAGGCTGCAGTGTGCAAAGGAAGATTTGGGGTCGTTCAGGTCCTAAATCCTCCTGACTCGGTGTCAACGCGGCTGACCTCGCTTTCCAGCCGCTGTAGTTTTAGACTGTCTTGATTGAAGACTCTTTGTTGCAGAGCAGATTAAAAGCCGACCGTTAAGCAGCTTCTTCGAGGGTTTTGAGACACAGCAGGTCGTCAGATTTTTTTTCACTTATTTCCTCCCTGTGTTGCATTTTGTCAGAATTGTAGCTGCACGTTACCATTGTATAAAGCTTTCTGGGAGGATTTGTGTGTGTCACTCATTTCTACGTCCACCAAACAAATGCCACTGCCTTCTTGCAGACATCTTAAAGAAGAATACATTTTCCTGACTGATGTGCCTCAGTCACCACCTCTCTCTTTATATGCTGTCTGTGTCAAATTGCCGCAGCTTCGGTTGCAAAGCCAAACACACACACACTCACACACAGCCGGGTCCTCCATGCCCTGCTCCTTGCAGATGAGGATCTCTTCAGCGTGGCACAGCATAAGCTAGCAAGAGCTGACTCCATCAGCCAAATGCTAACAGCTTAAACATGGCTGCCCATGTGCTACACCTGCTGCCTCCTTTCCGTACTCTGATCCATTTTTAACCCTTTCTTAATGAGCTTCTGCTCTTTTGTTTTCCCTAACATACTAGACATAGAAGGGAGAAAGCTGAAGTATCCCCAACAGTACTTTCATGACTTGCTTCCTCTCGTCTGTCCTGAAGCAATACGCTGTACATCACAGATGAGCAGCACAAATGCAATTATAGAGACAGCTTTGAGTCTTTTATATGAATAAAGAGAGGGAATAATCCCCTGACATGTGGGCTGTGCATGCCTTACACATCTTGTGAAAGCACATTTACAGTATGAGGCCCATTAATAATCATTATCCGCAGGTTACATCACTCATATTCTCAGGGCGCACCCATCGCCTTAGCTGAGTCATTCACGGTGATGCGATGTGCCACCGAATGTCTTAGAAAATTTTTAAGGTTGTCTGTCTTTTCACACTATCATACGAATGTGTAGATATCGCTTGCATTGAGGACAACACCTAACCTCACAGCAAACCGGCATCAAATACAGGACTAGATTGAAGATTTTAATTAGATTCCTAATGCAAATATATCATTCATAGCTATTCTGAAACAATGCCGTGAAAAAATGTGATTTACTCTGACAAACCTTGTAGGTGTTGGCGTACAGCTTTGTATGCACATCATGTATGAATGCATGTCTAATGCCTGGGAAAACCCTCTTATTTAGAAGAATATGTAGAATCTCCATGTTTTTCAGACATGCAGGGGAGCCTGAATAGACTAATGAACAGTCAGGTGGCACTCCAGGGCCTGGACTAACCCCCCCCCCCCCCCAAACAGCGCACACATATCAAGCACACATACATTTGCCCACACATTAAAACTCAGAGTCTCGCCCGACCCCGGTGATCTGCACGACAGTCTAATGTCTCAGGCATCTGCTCATGTCTAGTCTGGAGGGTCTTTCCCACCCTGCCCCCCAGCACAGGCCCGCTGCCCCACCAGTTCCCACAATAGTGGGAAAAGAGGCTTTTTTGGAAGGGAAAGGGTGGGTTTGGGGGGGGGGGGGATTGCCGGGCGGGCAGCTATTGAGGGGGGTTGAGGGTACGGGGCTGAATGATAATGTGAAAACGCATGGCGCTGTTCATTAACACACAGCACCGCAGCTGCACATGTCGGACCCGGACACACATGCTCACGTGTCTTGCTTTTCTACCTCAGGTTGCTGCCACAATTAGGAGGGTTTAGCATGTGTGTGTGTGTATGTGTGGAGAGTACCATGTATCTTGCTGGTACTTAGTCATGTCCCATTTTTTAATCAGCTTTTGTGACATTTTGAGTGTATGACGTGTGACATTTTTAGTAATCCTATAATAGTAATCCTATATAAGGTGTTTTAGTTTTGAAATCACATCAGGCAGACAGCTATAACTAATATTAAAATGGTGAGACTAAATGCTTTAAAAAACATATTAGCTGAACTAGATAATTAATCCAGGTTGTTTGAATGAAGCTAAATGATTTAACAACTTTCTCTGTGGCATTTCTGATCAACAAAACACACAACGTGTATATGTGTATACGTGTATTTGTGCGCACACAGGCAGCTGTAGGTTGGACTGGAACATAAGTCATGAAATGCCAAAATCAAACACAAGGATTTTTTTTCAGTCAAAATCTGTTTGGATAATTAAAACACACAAAAAAAAAATCTTTCTCACACCCACTATTGTTTCTTCCTCAGCACTGTAATTTTTCTGATTAGATCCTAAAATATTTTGCTAAATATCACGATTTCACGACAAAGGCAGTTTAGTGTGAATTAATCTCTGAGGTTTGTCAGGTGGAAACGGGCTGTACACCACGGCATCAGGGAGGAGAGCAGCACCATGATAACAGAGGATGGCAGCTTTCCTTCAACCGGTGCCAGCTCATTAATTTTGTTTGCTACCCAGCCCCACATCCCCCTAACCCATACCACCACCAACTACCACAACCCATCCTCACCCACCACCCCCCGCATCACCCCTTAACTGCTAATTAGCAGAAGCAGAGCACAGAAAAGAAAAGAAAGAGGCCATGTGTGACTGGAGGAAATAGAAAACTCTTCTTCTCCTTTCCTGATGATCCCTTCCCCCATCGCACATATTTGCACCCCCCCACCCTCTGGCCTACACCAACACCACTGGCACCCAACAGAAAACCATCATGCAGCTCACCTCGAGTGCCAGCCCAGCCATTTTAGCTGTTGCGGCAAACATCTCCCAAGATGGCTCCTGCGAGCGCGGCCGTACTCCAGGGATGTGGGGAGGGTCTTTGTCTGCTTCTTGGCACAGGCAAAGTGTCTCCGTTGGCAGTGCAGATGGCATCAGGGGCGGTTGAGTAAAGCGGACGGGGTGCGGGAGAAGGCGGCAAATCCGGACCGACTGTTCCCCTCCCCGCTCCACACTTGTCGTTTTTTTCTCAACGCTGGTTCTGTTCAGGAATCCTAGATCGTTCTGGGTTAGTAGGGAGGCTGTAGTGGAAGCAGAATAGAAGAAACAGAGGAAATCCCACCAAGTTAATCATTTCAGACAATCACAACATTTTGATTATGGACTTTTGGTGAATAGACTTTTTAAGCCAACAGTACATAATGTACCCATTCACCTATGTGGTTACAAAACAGCACTTTATCAAAACTCTTACAGCTCTCGGCAGTTTACACAAAGAGCAATACCCTCTTGTCTTGCCTGAGTTTTTCAAGGCAGGAGTGTGTATTCTGCAGCTATGAAAGAACTAAAAGAAACCCTCACATTATGAAGGTACAAAGGTCAAATCAAGGATGCTTTTCGACCACCACATACACCTCGAGAGTTTTTTTTTTTCTCATTCGTTAAGGACGCGCACCAGGTTCACACGCTACATACACCAGGAGGAGCCGTGGAACACAGCCCTTTCAAATTTCCAATATCTGACTGTGAAACGAAGCAATTAGTCCGGGTTGACAACAAGCTCTCCTGAAATGGGTAGTTAAGAGAATGAATGAAAACTCATCTCATGTGCTCTCCAGGCTTTAGCGGCTTTCTCTGGGCTGAGCATCTGCATCGTATAGAACTGAAGTACCAAGTTGAAAAGTTCAGCTCCTGTCTGCCGGATGGCTCTGGCCTTCTCAATGAGCTGAGACACAATATATCCCAAACGCCTCAAGATTTGCAACAGCTTTGAATACAGCACCCTGTGCTTCACCATTCAACTCCATTATTAGAGCCTCTGTAAGGCTTTAACATAACATTTGCTTCCACCTTCTTTTATCTAAATGTTAAAAGTGAAACAGCATTTGCTTTTCCAATTAATAATAAAAACCATAAATCTAGCACTTTGAATAGACTGGTAGGGTAGAGTAAAGTGTCCTAGAGCAGATATAGCTCCAGGGGCCTTTGAGAGGGATCCTAGGGCTGTTCACTTTGTAAATGCTCCCAACATTAAATCAGATAATGGACTTTGTTGGACCTTTTGCAGCTGAACTTGTCTTATAAAGTCACAGTGGGAAAAGCACTGGCATTAACAGTGAATGGCTCACCTGTCCTCTTCCCTCAACTCAAAATGTATTTGATGCTCACACAACAAAACAATTAAAAAAATATCTCTCCAGTGAAATTCCTACATCCTTATCTCTTTTGGGGGGTTTTCAAATGTTGTATGCTTGGAAGTACTTCTTGAAGTCTCTGCTGGTCTCTTTCTAACATTGGGCAACCTGTTTATGCAACATGTTGCCCTTCATTAAGTTCAGACATTTAATATAGATTGTGGAGAAAAAAAAACGACAGTGAGTTTATCAGGGGAATGCAGTTGATGTGTAAAGGTGAACAAGAGCACATGGCTCAGAAAAGCCCTGCTGTGGTAAAAATTTGGTATTTTCTGCTATTATTTCAAATAAAAAATAAAGGGAAAAAAACAATGTAGTTACCCTTCTCATTTGTTTCAACCTACATCTTGAACGTTCCATTTACTACCACCTATCAGCAGTATTAGGGCAACTTTTTCTTACCTTCTTTTGGGAAGATCCATTCGAGGAGCTCCACGTTTGTCGCGTGAATAAATCATCGTTATGGAGGTCATTTCTACTTTCGGTTATCTAGCTTTATGACAGGTATTTAAAACTCATACAGCTAGATAACCAAAGACAAAAACAGACCCCCCTCCCTCCTGTGACACACGTATGCTGTAGCCCGAGAAGACGCTGGCGTGTTCTACAAGGAACGAAAGTATGCATGAGAGGCCCTGTCACATTTACACACTTTTTCTTTTAGGAAAGCTGAAATAACTCAAGTTAAACAAGAAAGGGAAAAAAACTTACCAAAATAAGAGCATATGCGTCAACTGGTGATGTTATTTTACTGGTTTAATTTACAGATTGCATGTACTCTGATAGGCATAAAAACGCTATTCTACAGCACATGTATGTGCATTTGAGGCTGATACACAAAGAGCGACATGTCTGATGGAGTTAGAAAAATACAAAAAGCTACATTTTGCAATAATATGTGCCATAATATGGGAGCTACACACACTTAGCGATTAATAGCATCCCCCGCACCACAGATGTTATTGCTCAGGTGTACATAATTACTTCATAATTAGTGTTTCTCATCGCTAAAAATCAAACCAAGAGAGGCACTTAATGTCCATGTGGGTGCCTTGCTCAAATGAAAATGCCTGCACTGCAACATATTTACCACTTTAGATCACACACGTCCGCTCATTTGTAGGACAGGCCTTTTCTAACACGCATCGCCTCCTTTTTTTGTATGGTGAATATTCATATGGCAACAATTAGGTCTCATTGTTTAGCTAACATTAGATTTGAAAGATTGCATCTTGACATTGTAATAAATAACTACTGGTATTTACCACTAACTTAATATTTTTTGCTTTGATTCAATAGAAACGCTTTAGTTTGAATGTCTATCTCCATATAAGATGAAGACTGACAAGAAAACGGAGGTAAGTTTTTTCTTGTTTTTTTCTTTTTAATAATAACACAGTTTTGTCTGGTGTGTAGCCAAACTGAGGCGTCCTCAAAACGTGACCGTGAACCTGACGTGTTAAGTGAGCGTTAAAACGATGCCCCACGATCAAAAGCTGACCTCTAAAATTTAGATAAAAAAATCAAAGATAATGTGGAAATATTCTCTGTGTAAATTGAGTTGCGTTTGAACACGCTTTAATTTGCTTTTGGCTCTTCAGAGCTCCTGAGGGACAAGAATCCCTACTTTTAGTGGGAGCTGTGATTGGCCTACTTCCTCTAAAACTAGACTATTTCACATCACAAGGATTAATCCGCACAAGCTATTACATAAAGCAATTTGTTCTGAATCATAATAGAAGCCGAGGATCTATCAGAAGCATTGGACACTCTGGAAAACTGTACAAGAGAGGGGCTTTTGTGCGTTTAAATGTCACACACATATGCTGTTCCCTCATTTATATAAAACCACAGGGCATTTCAAGCCTTTCAATACATGAATTAAACATTTATCAGCACGGTCACGAAATAAATGGACATTGCTTTTCTTAAAAATGAAACAAGTCGTATTAAATGTGATGATGTGTGTCCACCTCCTTTGGCGTCTCGTACCTGTTTCGGAGGCAAAGCAAAACTCTGGAAGCGATGCCCTCAACTTCGGGTCGTGCTGAATGTTCCAGACGGGGCTTTTTTTTTCTCGGTTTACCTCTGGCCCCTCGAACAGAGTTAGTTGCAGAGCTCCCACATGAGTCCGGCTCCATCATCAGTTGACCAGCGTCTGCCTCTCCTCCAGCCTGCGCGCTTCCTCCACCGTCTGACAACCAGCTCCCGCACTGACGTCATGCAGCACAAGGACGGCGCCCTGGCCAATCACAGAGCGCCCCGATTCCAAAGATGGTCAGAGTCAGGCAAGATGTGTCACTCTCACTTGCCTTTCATTGTGTATCGTTTAGTCGATTTTTCTCTGAAAAGTATAGCAGATCTAAAGCTTTTTAAACGTACCATGTGGTTTTTGGTGTACCACTTCATCAAATTAGGTTTGCCTCGTTAAGATAATGCAAGTGCTCAAACTAAAGACAAAGACAGACGTACTAGTAATATAAAAATAATGACCTTGCAAAGTAAATAAGTCTGTCTTTGCAAAGTAAAAAAGTCTGTTTGTGAAATGTTTCTATTAGGGGGAAAAAGTAACTGAAAATACAAAGAAAAGAAATTTAAATCACATTGACATATTCATTACATTGCAATATATAGAATATTTGAATAACACAGCTTTAACAAAGCATTAATAGGCAGCCATAGGTAAAACCAGAATGACAATGAACATTTATCTGCCTGTTTTGCTGAAGAAATACTTGTTCTAGGGGGGTGGGGGTTTGGATATTTTTTGCTTTATTTTTTGTGATTGTCCCAGTTTTCTGTCTTGTGTAAGAAACACAGTAGGGTGTTGTTAATTAAATTCGGACGCTCACCGGTCTTACACAGCAATGATGATGTGTGAGTTACCTTAAAATAAAGGATCTTTGAAATTTTAGGCTTTTGTGACAAGTGTCCAAATTAGGGGCCATGTCCAAGATTAGCATGACCAGTTCCCTCCAAATCTGTCAGGGTCAGGGGAAGAGATTTTCCAATAGAAGCAAATCTGTCATTTTTCTTTGGTCAAAACTCCACTGCTCTCAAAGTTATGGTGTTGTGGGGCGACAAACACAAACATTGAGACATGTAAGATATTGTAAGATTCAACCAATTTGTCATAAAACATGTAAGATAAAAAAAAGTATGAAGTCTTAAAAACCGGAAAACAGTTGCAGGAATAGTTCCAAGATTAAGATTGTTAAAAAAATGCAGTTAATAAAAAAAAATCCAAAACAGAGTGCTTCCTAATTTTATGATAGACAGCGGAGTGAATAAAACTCAGGTGAATCCTTATACACTTGCAGGCTACTAAACATCTTGTTTAGTGACATGTTCATGACTTGTTCATTCAAAAATTGTCCTTGAAGAATTGTCTTTAAGGATTCATTGCACTAGTATAAACACATTGGTCTAAATAAACTAAAGTCATTTCTTGCGTTCAGTTGTGCAGATAGGTAATAGTAGTTTGCTGAAAATGAAGTCTTGTAGCAATCTGTTTCTCAATCATCATCAGTGCCAAAGTTTGTGATTTTTCAAATAACTTTTATTATTTTTTTGTGATTTCATGCCTCTATGCCAGTTCTCCACATGTTAATCTGAGGTTAGAAAACCCACTCGTCACAATACATGGAAGTGCCTCCGATTGTGATTGTCTTTTTTTCCTAAGAAAATGTGTGTCAAATACACATTAAATGCACTTCTCTATTATTGACATGCAATCAGACCCAACTTAATGTTCACTGAAAAAGCAACAGCACAACCGGATTTAAGTGATGGAGGTGAAGCTGGTGTGAAGAAAAGAGATGAAAACGTATTAAAAATGTCTAAAGGCAAAAAGAGCGACCGCGGCAGGACTCGAACCTGCAATCTTCTGATCCGAAGTCAGACGCCTTATCCATTAGGCCACGCGGCCAGGTACACACCGCAGAGTAACACAGCAATTTTTACACAAATCATATCCATTTCGGTGAAAGCAGACAACTGTTCTGGTATCTAATAAACCTTTTGATTAATAAGATTTTACAATCTTTTGATAATTATTTCCCTGAACTAGAAGAAAAATCATCCAGGCCGTGTGGGGGCGCTAAAGCTTTGCGTCGTTGTTTTGGTCTCGTAACTCCGTGAGGAGAAGTGCACATGCAGACCTCTGAAATCAGTGAGAGCCGAAATGTGCTTACATTTGTTTAGAATTAAAGCTAACTCGTAAGACAGGATAACAGGAGTATTTCTTTCTCCCCGGGTAGTGTAAGATGGTGAAGGAATAGAAACGACTTCGCATGAGTTAGCATGTGTGAGCTAAGTGTTTGTCAACAGGCGGAGAGCGGTGGATTTACAGCTATAAAGGTAACTGTCTGCGTGTGTAACTTCTTGTGTACTTCAGTAAATCAACTTATGTCTGGTCCAGTTTTTGGTATCCGTATTTAATAAGCAACGGATAGCAAAGTAATACATTTTAGAAGAGTCACATATCAAACATGCAGGTAACTGGAAAAGAGGAGTGATTGTGTGACACTTAAGTAGCTAACGTTCATGGCTCATAACATCAGGTCTATTTATTTGAACTGTGTTGTATCAAGATAGTAATATCTGGTTCAGCTAGTTCCTTCCATTGCTGTTAATGCAAGTTGCCTAGTGAAACCAAGAAACCAGTAACATGGACAGTCTCTTGTTGTGTCATTGTCTTCCAGCTGAGGTGAAAAGTCCCCCAGAGGTGATGCTGCATTTGTTACGCCGTCCTCTCCAGAGGAGGATTTTCTCTACTCAATGGCGGTGTCCGCGGTTGTTCTGCTCCACCAAGGCTCACTCGCTCCAGGGCGAGGACTCCACCGAGACTCGCCTGAACCCCCTTAACATCCAGATGCTGTCCAGAAATCTTCATGAGCAGATCTTTAACGGGGTGGAGCCGGAGTACAGCGAGGAGGCGGTGGAGCGCAGCGTCAGGCACTTACAGAAGCACAAGCTGTGGGGGAAAGAGACTTCCCTCCTGCCTGATGTCGAGCTTAAGCTTCCCCAACTATACGGCAAGAACATTGATGAGCACTTTCGCGTGTTAGCCGAGAAGCAGAGCCTCCCCTACCTCGAAGCTGCCGCCGAGCTGCTTCAGGCGGAGCTACCACCTATGCCTCAGGCGTGGAGCTGGGAGGTTGGTTGGACCCGCTATGGGCCGAATGGGGAGAGTCAGAAAGTTGATTTTCCGCTAGAGCGTGCTTTAGTCTTTGACGTGGAGGTGTGCATAACAGAGGGACAGTGCCCCACGCTGGCTGTTGCTCTGTCCCCCACCAACTGGTGAGAAACGGGGCATGAGTGGGGGAAAACGCTGTGGTTCCGTGTTTAGTTTTATCCTAACTTTCTTCATGCTAAGTAGGATGCGGCTGCTGTCTTTGGACAGGTACTCCTGGTGCAGTAAGCGCCTGATTGAGGAGCGATACTCCTGGTCAAGCCAGTTGACTCTAGCTGACCTGATTCCACTTGAAACAACACTAAACTCTGCCCGTCCTCCTGGTGGTCAGTGGAAGGAGAGGCTCATAGTGGGCCACAACGTGAGCTTTGACAGATCTTACATTAAGGAGCAGTACCTGCTAAAGGTTTGTCTTAAAAGGGTTGTGTGCTCTCTGGCTTTCAAAGCAATCTGGGTTGTGCATATTAATTATTGTCCAGTTAACATAATGTTCTTGTTATTAAAGGGTTCAAAGGCACGCTTCATGGACACTATGAGCCTTCACATGGCCATCTCTGGGCTGACAGGGTTCCAGAGAACACTGTGGATGGCCAACAAGCTGGGTAAGAAAAGGGGTCTTCAGGAGGTGAAGGAGCACATCAAGAGAGCTGGACAGAGGAAAGACCGCCCATCGGTTTGTTCTTCATTTTTCTGCGCTGTACTTCTATAGTTGTAAAGGCCTGTTCAAACGTGGTGTGACATATTGTGTTGTGCGCAGATTGGCTCTTGGGACTGGGTGAACATTAGCAGCATTAACAATCTGGTCGACGTCCACGCTCTGTATGTGGGGGGGGGCGCCCCTCCAGAAAGAAGCCAGAGACATCTTTGTGAAGGGAAGCATGACGGATGTGAGGAACAACTTCCAGGTCAGATTGTGTGTGAATGTGCACAACTGTCCTTGAACTGAAATAGTTATCTGACATGAACTTGCTTTTGCTGCCACCTACAGGAGCTGATGCAGTACTGCGCTCTTGATGTTCAGGCCACACATCAAGTCTTCCTGGAACAGCTTCCACTCTTCATGGAGAGGTTCATACATCCAGCACAATTATATTTTCAGGGGTTTTCCCTGAATTTGTATGAATTTTAAATTTATTTTAATGTGATTTGTTATTGTTCACGTTGCTGAAATCAATCAAATCCTTTGTGTTTCATAAGGTGCCCTCATCCAGTGACGTTTGCAGGGATGCTGGAGATGGGTGCCAGCTACCTTCCTGTCAATCAGAACTGGGATAGATACTTAGAAGATTCTCAGGATGTTTACGAGGAGCTCCAGAGAGAGATGAAGAAGTCTCTGATGACTCTAGCAGACGACGCCTGCCAGCTCTTGCAGGATGAAAAGTGAGAGGACCTCTCACTCTATTTTTAGTTTAGCAGTTTATTTACTGTCATATTTTATTCCTACAGTGTGTGATAAGATATGCTCTCGGATGTCATACTATGCAGCTTTGTAAGCACTTATAGAGCATTAACAACCTATTGAATGGTTTATGTTTTTGAAGATACAAAGAGGACCCTTGGCTTTGGGATCTCGAGTGGGATGTGCAGGAGTTCAAGCAAAAGAAAGTGGCAACCAGTAAGAAGAAGAAAGCCGAGAAAGTAGCTGAAAAGCAAAAGCCCACCCCTCTTCCTGACAGCGATGATGGTACAAGCTCAGAAAATGAAACGTTTTTCCATTAAAAAACGATTATGTTCTCTTTTTCTCTGTTGCACTTTATAAACAAAAAGGAAGATGTGTTGCTAAATTCCTGTGTTAAATCTGGCTTGTGACAATAGACCCAGGTCCACCATCCGAGGAGGAGATGGCAGGGCCTTGCCCCAAAAGACTGGCTGTTGAAAAACTGAAGGAAACGGTGAACCGACTTCCTAAAAGAAGGCAGCATCTGCCTGGACATCCAGGGTGAGATCACTCATAAGCACCACACACCCACTTATTATCCTTCGGTTTCCTCTTTCTTTTGCCTGTGATTTCATTCCGCCGTGCTGTCATGCTGTCCTTCAGGTGGTACCGTAAACTGTGTGAGAAGATGTCTGAGGATGCAAGCTGGTCGCCAGGAGCCAGTCTCATCAGTCTCCAAATGAGGCTGACGCCCAAGCTGATGGGTCTGACGTGGGATGGCTTCCCTCTGCATTACACGGAGAAACATGGATGGGGCTATCTGGTACCTGGACGAAGGGATAATCTAGACTCTCAGGACGAGGACACGGGACCCGTGTGCCCACACAGGTACGAATCAAAAAGCCACTGTTTCCTCTCCGTTTTACCTCAGATTTCAACCCATGGCTGCGTGTTAACGACTTGCCGTTTTTCACAGAGCTATAGAGAGTGTTTACAAAGAGTATTGTGAGCAGAACAGCAAGATGCAGCCTGAGTGTCTGGACTCCAGCCCATCAGATGACCTCATGTGGACTGACAGCGCAGTGTGGACAAAGGTTTGTAAACTTCTGAAACTGTTGTGTTTGAAGTTTGCGATTCTTAATGGAATACTTTTTCGGCCAAAGAGTTCTAGCGCATCTTGATTTTATCTGTTTGACATTTTTCAAATGTTTTACACGTGAAATGAAGTGCTTGGAAATACACCTCGAAATGAAACTTGGTGAAAATTAAAAGTAGACAGTGTTGTTTTTTCATGTGAAGGTGGAGGAGTTGGGTTCCTTGGAAGGTCTGTTGGAGGAAAACAATATGAAAATGGTAAAGAAGGCGTCAAGAGAAAAGGGGGTGAGTATTACTTCATAATCCAAGCAATACCAAGTTGAAAAATAAACTACTTTTGTGGCTTTTTTTTAGGGATTTCACTGCCTTATCTTTCTTGATTTTTTCTCCCCACAACTGTGACTTGTATTTTGACGGTCTGTTCCAGGATCCACATTTTGCACAAGAGGGGAGCCACTGTGCTTATCACCATGGAAACGGCCCTTACAATGATGTAGATATTCCAGGTTGCTGGTTTTTCAAACTGCCCCATAAGGTGACGTTTAGTTTGTTTTTACCTGAATAACTAACCACTCCCGCATTCGCTGCTTTTTTTATCCATCTGACCGAACATTTGTGTACACAGGATGGTAATCAAAACAATGTCGGCAGTCCTTTTTCAAAGGACTTTTTGCCTAAGATGGAGGATGGTACTCTTAGGGCAGGAAGAGGTGGAACGAACGCAACCCGAGCTCTGGAGATAAACAAAATGATGTCCTTCTGGAGGAATGCCCACAAACGTATTAGGTGCTCATCCGTTGCCCGTGTAGCTATTCTGATCACAACCAGCTTCACTGGTTTTATAAATGTGTTTGTGGTTTACACCCTTTTTTACTGTAGCTCTCAGATGGTCGTGTGGCATAGAAAGGGAGAGCTTCCTCGGACTGTCAGCAGGTTTGTGTGACCAATACACAGAAATCTCGCGTAGTGGTTTGATGTGTAGTGAAGTAACCAGCTCTGTGTCTCCAACAGACATAAAGACTTTGATGAGGACGGCCGGTATGGCGCCATACTACCTCAGGTAGTCACCGCTGGGACAGTAACTCGGAGAGCCGTGGAGCCAACATGGCTGACTGCCAGTAACGCTCGGGTAAGAGGCAGTGAAACAAGTCTGAAAAGTACAGATTAAACTGCCAAAAGTGGAGGAATTTAATTTGAAGGGCTTTTTTTCTTTTTCTTCACAGAGGGATCGGGTAGGCAGCGAACTGAAGGCTATGGTGCAGGTACCACCTGGGTATCACCTGGTGGGAGCAGATGTCGACTCTCAGGAGTTATGGATAGCTGCCATACTTGGAGAGGCTCACTTCACCAGCATGCATGGTATTACCTCTCACAGTAGCTCTGTCGTAGTCCTACTCGCCAGCACCTGACGCTAGCCGTCTGTTATTCAGGCTGTACGGCCTTCGGCTGGATGACCCTACAGGGAAAGAAGAGTCAGGGTACCGACCTGCACAGCCGCACTGCAGACACTGTGGGCATCAGCCGAGAGCACGCAAAGGTCTTCAATTATGGCCGCATTTATGGGGCAGGACAGCCCTTTGCCGAGAGGCTGCTGATGCAGTTCAACCACCGCCTGGATCAGGCTGAAGCTTCCAGTAAGGCTAGGCAGATGTATGCCTCCACTAAGGGCATAAGGAGGTAAACTCTCAACAGAGTCTAAGTCAAGTTTTATTTTCAGTTAGGTGTGAAGTTGAGTCTAAAAACAGTTATTATTTTGTGGATTTTTTGTCATCAGGTACAGTTTGTCTGAAGAGGGTGAATGGCTGGTCAGTGAACTTGGTATAGATGTGGAGAGGGAAGAGGACGGAAGTGTGTCACTGCAGGAACTGAGGAGGATCTCTCGACTGGCCTCACAGTGGTAGAAAACAAAACAAAACAACGCAAACATCTGAAAATCCATGCTCGGAACCTCAGGTACAATCTCTTTGTATCTTGTCAGCTCTCGGCGAAAGAGGTGGGATATTGTTGGCAAGCGTATGTGGGCAGGAGGAACCGAGTCGGCCATGTTCAATAAGCTGGAGTGTATCGCTCATTCAGCCCAGCCGGCCACTCCCGTCCTAGGCTGCAGAATTAGTAGAGCACTGGAGCCTACGGCGGTAAAAGATGAGGTGAGAAGCTGCTGTGTGAAACTCCTGAGAGCAGACAGACGTCTTCAAGCGCATGTTTACAGAACTAACAGAAATGGTGACATCGGCCGTGGCATTTAAGGGAATCCCTATAAGAGACACTTTTTGCTTTTTAATATTTCACCATTCCTCATCGGTTTAATAATATAAGGACTTTTCCAGTTCATTACCAGCAGAGTAAACTGGGTGGTTCAGAGCTCAGCGGTGGACTACCTGCATCTCATGCTGGTGGCCATGAAGTGGCTTTTTGAAGAGCACGACATCGATGGCCGTTTCTGCATCAGCATCCACGATGAGGTGAGGTACCTCATCCGGAGCGAGGACCGTTACCGGGCAGCGCTGGCGCTTCAAATCACAAACCTGCTGACAAGGTCTGCTTCCAGCCTCATCTGGGTAAATATCTGTGGTAGGATGGTTAGAATGAGCGGTTTTGTTTTTTTTCCTGCAGGAGTGTGTTCGCACATGCTCTGGGCATGAAGGACCTTCCCCAGTCTGTAGCATTTTTCAGTGCAGTCGATATTGACCAGTGTCTGAGGAAAGAGGTCGTCATGGACTGTGCGACTCCCTCCAACCCCACAGGTCTGGAACGAAGATATGGGATCCCGCCTGGTGAGTTCCAGATGCAATTTTTGTGTAAATATTTGTGTGTGTGTATAATATATGTTCATACATTCATACAGACTATGTAGAGACGAAAGATGGGTGAAATAACGGTCAAAAGTCTAGCAAGTATAAGTAAAAAAATAAAATAAAAAACAAACACAAACAATATCAAGCACAGTAAACTTTATATATGGTCAGTGGCCTTTCGTTTTGTTTGTAGGCCACTTTGTTTGTGTGACCTGACCAAAGGTAACACAAATTTGTCATTGTAAATAATTTCACTCCTCATTTCCTGACAGTCTTTTAAACACGTCATGTATATACAGAATATGTTAGCAGTTTTGAAAATAAACTACATTTAACAAAACAACACCTCACAAAGGATGCATGCAGGATGCATATCCAACCAGAGGAAACCACTCAGTCTTCTAAAGTACTTCTGTAAGCAATTACAGCTGTAGCTTTTAAGAAAAATATAATTGAAGCAGTTTACATTTGATCAGAGCAGCTTGTTTACATCGAGATCTTCATTGGATTGGATGCTAAATTCGCTTTTTGCCAAGTATTCAAATAATGTAGAACAGAACAGGATGGATAGCTTAATCTAAGGAAAATAGAACTGCATGTTAAGAAACATTTCTTTGAGTGAGGTAACCCAAACCAACTGGTAAATGATGTATTCTACAGGTGAGGCCTTGGACATTTACCAAATCATCAACATTACTAAAGGTTCTATGAGCAAAGGAAAGTAGTCGTTTATGGACCAGGCTACCATCAACTGTAACTCTGCTGGGACACCATGGACAGCGATGGATGTAAATCTGGGATCACGCAGAGGAGCAGCTCACTGTTTCCTCTTCTTCTGTTTGGGTTCCTGTGCTTCCTCTGCCTCCTGAGACACTGTGGTCTGGAAGACATGACAAAGCCAAGAATGAAATCTAAGAAGCTGCAAACATGCAGCTCAGCCTTGTATGATTAACTCTTCTGCTAAAACCAAGCAGGGGGTGAATGTTTTGGCAACATAAACCACGAGGAAACGGTTAGCCCAGTCTGGATTTCGGACCAGGTGTTTTGCACACTTATGATAAAGCAAAGAGAAAAGCTTCCACTGACCTCCTGGCTGTCGTCCTGCTCTTGCAGCGCTGCATCCAGAGTTGCAGCATTGATGCGGAAATCTCTTGAGGTGCTCAGCTTCATGTACTGCATCAGATTTACCTGGATGACACAGATTTTTGTGAGACACTGTTTAAATCAATTCACCACAAAGTTCAGAGGGCTGACTGTACTGAATATTTTTGGGACTCAGGTAATCCACCTTAGACTTCTTTGAGAGTGTGATGAGGAACTTCTCATACTGTTCGATGCTGAATATCAAGTTCGGGATGGCTTTTGTCTCACGCAGAAGCTTTGCCTTCCAACAGGAAAGAAGACAGAATTAGGAAAATGTAAAAGATATGTATAATTTTGTTTTGTTTTTTTAATTAAAAACCAAATGGGTTGTTCTTATGATCAGTGTTCGATTCTGTTTATAAGAGACTTACAGAAGCAGCTGGGTTGACTTCATTCTTTCTCTTTTTCTTCTTGTCATCTGCTCCTCCACCACTGGATTCTCCACTCTAACCATATAAAGAACATTTTTAAAAAGCTCAGTAAAACAACCCACAGTTCTCCTGCGATTGCTTGTTTGGGACCATTGAAGAGAGGCCTGCTGTACCTGTGCATATGTGATGAAGGAGTAGCACTGGGGTGTTAGGTGGGAGCCGGACAGTTTCACCTGCTCGGGAAAAACTTAGGGTTAACTTAGCATAACATCAGATATCTCACAATTCAAACTAATTGAATTCTTCAGACTCACCAGCTTCTCAAAGCGAGCTGGCAGCCCACAGCGCTGGCTGCTGCACACCTGGATGTACTAATGGAGGAGGGACAAGGGAAGGAAATGTGACCTCAGGCTCCAGCGTTCTGGGGTAGATCATTGCTTGGACTTATACATACGTATTTGACGAGGGTAGTGAGGATGGCGTAAGTACGGCTCAGCACGCGCAGCAGTGTGAGGGTGCAGGTTCCTGGAAGAAGGGCCGTCTGGACCAGCTCATTTAACGCCGTCAACAGAGTTCCGAGCTGAAGTGTCACCGCTTTCTCAACTGGATCCTGGTGGTCTGCAGCCTGGGTGGCCTCGTCTGCACACCAAAAACAGGAGCGTCACAGATTTTTGGTGCTACTCTGTGTGTCTTGTTTTTCCTGTCCTATTGTAATGATTAATCCAAACCATGCAACCGTGTGAGAGCTTCTTTACCTGAGCCAGATTTCTCAGAAACCGACTGGCTTTTCTTTCTGGCAATGAGCCAGTCCACTTCGTCTAGCACTTTGTCCACCTGAGACAGGATCAGCAGCTGGGACAGGGAATAGAAGAGGGAGAGAGAAAGGTGAGCACACTCAGAAAAATGACAGTCGCATTCATGTTTTTGCTCGGAAAAACACTCACTGCTGCCGTCGTTGCAGTTTTCATGTTCACAATGGCAAAGTGAGACTGCTTTTCCACCTCCACATCCTGATTACCAAGAGAGAGAAGTCAACATGAAAACACTGTCTGCAAAAAAATACAACTAAGGTGTTTCCTGTTTTGTTTCTAACATGCATCAGAACACATGTCCATATCATGACTGTGTCAATTAACATAAAAAGGTATAAAACATGAAAATAAAAATCCTTTAAAACAAAAAACTAAATCAAAATTTGGCCAAAAGTCTCAGTGATGTCAATGAAAAGACTTCTGATCAAAGAAGCTCTCAAAAATATTTGTACTTCTTCGAGGCCGACAATCAAACTTACAGTCTACGAACAGGAACTGTTAGAAAATGCAGGGCAGAAAGTAAAGAGCAGTTTCCATGTACCTGATCAATGTCTCCAAGCTGGCTGTGAATGTCTTGGCAGAGCTCTAGCAGCAAGCTCACAGGACTCTTGAATAAAACGTGCAGGTTGAAGAGAAGGGACAGCAGCCCTTTGGAGAAGGCAGAATCCTCTAAAAACAGAGAGGCGTTTTGAAGGATGAACACTGACCTCGTGACATCAAACATACACAAAGATAAACTCACCAAAACTAGTCTCCTTGCAGACTTTCACAGTCCAGGTGATCATCTGAACAAACTGACCATTGAATAAGGATGAGTTCCCATGGATAACCTTCACACTGCTTAAAGAGGTCCAAAAAATGTTGAGTCTTACCTGTTTGGAAGAGGGCTTTAGCTGGCGGGAAAGCACACTCAAAATGCTGACCAGCAGCTGAGCCTCTCTGCTGTTAAATTCATCCTCGCCTCCACTTAACTGTGTGAATAGCGCCCTCTGTTGGAAAGCGACCCACAGTGAACGTTAGTGTGCCCGCACTGTGATGCTCATTTGACGTCCTCTTCCATATTTAGAAAGTCTTGAAGTCTCATGTTAACATGGAGGAATTTTCATGTTTGTACCTGAAATTGTCTGATATAAAAGTAGTTCATCTCCGTTACATCGTCTTGCTCTGGATCTTCTTCTGCTTCTGCAATCTCTACGAGAGACAAAAGGTATGATGGACTCTCGCCTTTTTTTTTCAGCTGGAAACGTAAGAGTTTACAGTTTTGGGAGTGCAGGTCGGACCCATGGCAGAGAGGAGCTGGGCCATCTTGTCTGGGAAGCGCTGCTGGCAGGTCGTGAAGATCCTGAGAAGCCCCTCCAAACACAGCTGGGACAGACTGGAGCGCTTCTCCTTCTTCCCTGCCTCCTCCACCACGCTGGGGATGTTGGTGTAACGCCACATCAGCACGCTGGAAGGTGATATCAGCAAAAATAAATGTCTTTGGTCAAATTTATCAGCAGTTTCAAAGAGAACAAAAATTGTTAAGAGTAAAACTAAAAAATGTTTCTATGCAAAAGAAGGGATTTGAACCTTGTCATGTCACAGAGGAAGCGGAAAGTCCTTTCTGTATTTTGGCCATCTGGGCCGTCGGTGTGTCCAGTCTCCTCCAGCTGCTGGATCTTCTGTACAACTACACTTAGTGCATAACGCACAAATTCTCCACTTGAGCGAAGCACTGACAGAGCCTCCTCTCTGCTTTGGCTGTTGTCTCTGGAAGAAACAGTAATTTCTAAATTTAAGTTGCAATGGAATTTAGTAGAAAGAACGAAAATTGAATTCAGTCATTATCTCTGGTGAATTATATAGATGACTGGCATTAAAAAGAAGTCACTACAGCAAACTGGTGTAAAAAAAGAAAAGAAAAAAGAGCTACTTTTTACCTGAAGAGCACAGTGACGAGAGTTGATGCGAAGCCCATGGAGAGTAGACTGCGGGAGGTCTTGTTTGAAGGCACTCTGCCTTTTCCGGATTTCTCCTTCAAGATCTCAGACAGCTTGTTGTAGTGGTTGAACAGCTCAATAAGCTCCTCAAAGCGACTTTTACTGCAAAAAACAGTAAGGTTGATGAACATTTCAAAATCCCGACCACTGTAGAAATGATACAGTTCTCCAAACAAAGAGGAGCCGTTACTTGTAGCTGGCTTTGATGAAGTTGTACTCTATGAGGACCTCATACATGCCCATCACCAGCACAGCATAGATGTTATTCTTCACTCCCACGCTGGATCCCATGGAAAACTCTGCAGACTTGTCCTTTTTAAAAGGAGGACAGGAGACAGTCACACATTTAGTCCAAAGCTAAATAACTGAATTGTTTTATTTTTTTAAACAAGTAGAAGTGAGGAAAATCAATGGATGGTAGTAGCAGTAATTACTAGGATGTAAGATATCGTAACCATTCTTAAGAAAAGTAATCTCTCAAATAATGCAACTCGTGAAATTGAATTGTTGAT